TGTGTGTGTGTGTGTGTGTGTGTGTGTGTGTGTGTGTGTGTGTGTGTTCGAGAGACCCAGCCGCATGGCCCCAAAGATCTAGATCACCAATAACCAAACTCATTAATTTTAACATCAACAGGAAAATCCTGGAACTTGTCAGCTCAGTGTGAAAACAGGTGGGAAAGACCTTCAGCTGGCATCTTTCTTAAAAAGAGCAGCAATTGGGGCACCTGGGTGGCTCAGTCGTTAAGCATCTGCCTTTGGCTGGGATCGTGATCCCAGGGTCTTGGGATCAAGCCTGCTCAGCGGGGAGTCTGCTTCTCCCTTTCCCCCTGCTCACTCTCTCTTGCACGCGCTCTCTCTCTCTCAAATAAATAAATAAAAGCTTAAAAAAAAAAAAGAGTAGCAATCAACTTTATCATTATCCTTCCCTTCTTAACTGGGTACCTCCCTCCAGGGGTGGTTCTCAGGGGCCCACTGTTCCTCCTGCTCATTTCCCTCCCCGAGTCCTGAGAGTCTGGCTCCTGCTCCCTGGAAACAGATGAGTCGTAGCCGGGCATCTTTACGTCTTCAGACAGTGAGCTCGGTGCTTCCACAAAGAAAGGGCTTGATGTAAATATCTTAAGTATCGATGACTAGATCTCACACCCAGAATAGCATCCTTTCGGCAACATGCGGGAGTTCAGGCCTGGGCTCTCTGGGCTTCACTAAATGCAGAGCTAAATCAAAAGGTAATACCCAAGACAAGCATTTTGGGGGGAAAAATTTTTACAGATATCCTTGCCACTTTAATCTGTCATGAGGCATCGACTCTTCTAATCCCACAATCTCTCAGAATCATAAAAGATGGCAGCAGATTATCCATTTGTCCTCTGGATGATTCCTTCAGGCAGAAAGTCCACATTTTACAATCTGTTAACTGGAATGAGCCTTCCTCTACGCCAGCCCTTTAGAGCAAGATACGAACAGAAGCTCTGGGGCAGCTGGGTGGCTCAGTCGGTTAAGGGTCTGCCTTTGGCTCGGGTCATGATCCTAGAGTCGAGGGATGGACTCCCCGCTTCTCCCGCTGACCCTCCCTCTCTCATGCCCTCTCTCAAATAAATAAATAAAATCTTAAGAAAAGGACAACAGAAGCTCTGGAGCCTGACAGCTAATGAGCTGGGAGCTTCAGGGCAAGTCAACTACTGCAGCTACTGCTTTACTTTTCTCACCTGCAAAATGAGTATGATAACACCTCCTTCCCGGCATTGTGGGAGGGGCGCAATGAGTCGGTCAATTAGCCAGAACCTGGTGTGGGACACATTGGCAATATTAACCCCGGCGTACAGATGCTTTGTTCTCTGGAATCAGAAACTCTTCATTTTATAAATATGACCTCTAATTTTCTCCCTATTTCAGACAAGTGATGCTTTTCGCAGCTATAACAATGCATACTAGCTTGTTAGATTTCCAATTATCTCTTCTCCACCTTCGAAGTGCTGCATGGCATCATTCTGTCTCTCTCCAGCAGATTAATTTTGGTTTAAAATTGAGATTCAATCACCGTACTCTCATATGATACTGCAAATTTACAAATTGTTGATGAAGATTCTAAAAGAATAATTAAATTTACAGTGCATATTTTAATGTAACAAGTCTTAGTCATCGATGGTTAGATTTTCTGCTGCCTTAATTCAGTTTTGACTAAACAAAATAAAATGCAAACACATCATAAACAGGCCAATGATTGTGTTTTATAGTTGGCCGCATTTTGCTGACTACTCAAGAAGTTAGAAAAAAGTTACCTCGGTGAAGTCAGATTTCTTCTCGGTAACGTCAGACTGAAGATTTTTAAGGGCAATCTGACTGTTTGTACAGTACTGCTTGTCCCGTAATCCTAGACAAAAGGAGACAATATTGCTACTTTTTAGTATATGAAAGGATACAATGGAATCTATAACTCTCCTATAAAGTTTCAGGTCACCTACTCAGGTATGGGGTGGGTGAATCCTTGTACATTTCTCTCATTCATTCCAGTCCCTGATTTGGGCTCTCTGATTTTATTATTATTATTTTACAATTAAGCTGCAAGTTTCCTTCTTCCACACAGTTGTTTATGTTCCTAGATTCAGTAAGAGTTGAACAAGTTTGGACTGCTCACATTCTCCCTCATCCCAGCAGGAGAGAAAATCACATCTAAGAGGTTCCCGACACCACTAGAATTAAGAAAGGCTGAAACATAAGACCAACTTTCATCCAATCTCTTAATCCAACAATACTTGAAGAAGCCATGAGTGGCCCAGACGTGGATATTGAAGCTGCTTTGGAACAGCTGGGGATAATTTTGTGATCATACTACAGGGATAAATGAGACCCTGTGGACAGCCCTCCACAGAGACACCTGCCTCCCTGTTGGCCCAGGATATCATCAGGTCCAAGAGCACACAGCTGGTGTGTTTTGAATTATGAACCTGGAGTCCAGTTCCCACCCCACTACCCACGAGTTCGTAATGATGGGTGATGTGGACTCCTTGATCCAACAAACCCACCTTGCACTCCTCATGGAGCACTGGCTAGAACCCACAACCCAGCAGCCTTATAATCGATGCCTGGACACCCGTTGCTAATGCGGGAATGTGTACAAACACAGGAAGGTAGAAAGCAGAGTCTGTGTGGCCCGTTCTCTGGAGCCCTGGTGACAATGCTGTCCTCATAACATGGATATTTTGGGGAAAGTGAATTTTCCAGAACCTACAAAGATTGGTTCCCCAGCAGCTGGTGCTGGTGATAAGAAAAAGGAGCTTTAAGAAGTACCTCCCTAAGTTAGAGTTCTGTCTTCATCAACTCATGAGAATATTCATTAAAAATTTACCTATATTCAAATAACTCAATTTAAAGCATTTTATAATATTTCAAAGCATTTTCTGGAACAACTGATAGGCTATAGTATTTTTATGTTTGGCAGGTTTGCAAAGAGTCAGGACATGGCTTGTGGGAATTTCAAGGGTCCCTATTGACCCATCCAAAGGCTTCTCCTGTCTCCCCTCATCCTTGGGTGACGACAGAGCCCCCACCAGCTTCACCCCACACGTGTGCCTGTGCCTCTCCCTCTGCCCGTTACTGAGTGACAGCGGGCGGCATCCGAGATGATGGACACAGATTACTTTCCATGAAGTGCCAATACGAGACCTGAAAGATCTCATGGATTTTGTGCAGAGTCGATATGTCATGATGAGCTGACAATAAAGCTGATGAAGATGGAAATCTCCTGGCTCTTGTCAGGTGGCATCGTGCTAAGAACTCTGAAGTCAGCACTGGCTAGGGGCCACCAAGGCCCAGGCTGCAGCCCAGCCCAGCCCAGCCCCAAGTTCACATGCAGTCCGTGGGTTACTCATCCTCTCGGAGTTTCTTCGGCCACAAAATGCAGAGAACTGCTCCTGCCCAGCCTTGTCTCTAAGGCACTGAAGCACGTGTGGGTAAAGTCCGTGGCCCGGGGAGCGATCTGAGGTTAATACCTGACAAACCACTCTGCTTGTGACTGTGCGCATCACCAAGGTGACAACACCTCTCACCCGGGCCCAGATGGTCACTAGCGCAGACCACACTCAGTCCCAGCATCTCTAGCTACAGGTGTGGCTTTGAGCAAGTCACTCAGCATCCCTTGGCTCCTTGCTGGGATGTGGAGATGACAAGGAAGCCACCTTTGTAGAGGGACTGGAAAAGATGAACAGGCCTAACTAATTAGCCCTCAGCATGATACCCAGCACACGATGACACGGAATCAACAACAGCTCCAGGGAAGTGGCCTCACCCCCGTGGGGAGGAGGAATGGCACTGGGGTCAGAAAAGCAGGGGCTGTGCGTCGGTGGCCTGTGGCTGCTGCCTCAGTGGTCACCATCTTGAAGGCTTCAACAACACAGATTGTGATATCTTTTGGTTCTGGAGGTCAGATGCCCAGGGCACATTTCCTGGGACTCAGGGCAAGCTCTCAGCTGGCTGAACTCTTTGGGAGGCTCTAGGGAAGATCTGTTTCCTTGCCTTTTCCAGCTTCAAGGGACAGCTGGCTTTCCTAGGCTCGTGGCCCTGCGTCAGACTCTGCTTTCACAGTCTCTTCTCTCTGAGCCTCCAGATTCCCTCCTCCCAAGACTCTTGTGATTCGACTGGGTGCACGGATCACCCAGGAGAGTTGTCCCATCTCAAGGTTCTTTGATCTGCAAAGTCCCTTTTGCCATGAAAGGTGATATGTCTACCGATTCCGGGGACATGGACAGATTGGGGGCACCACTGTTATGCCCATCACAGACCACCTGGGGAGACTGAGGTAGAGGCGCTGGATGAAAAAAGTAGGGCCTTTAAAACAACAACTATAAAGTCTATGCAGCAAACAAGGGTAAGCACTTACAATGGGCTGTTTATTGAAAGAAAGGAAACAAAAACTTATGAGCCACATGATTGCAACATTAAAAGAAAATTTTCAGTATGTGTGAGAATTTCCAAAACCAGTAAACCTATAACTCTGAGCCATGAACCTAGTTTTGAGTGAAAATGAGGTAGGACTAAAGCCATACAGGAGGGTACCTGACATAATGACCTCAAAAGATATGAGGAAGTGAGATATCAGCGTGGTTACATGCATAGAATCTGGAAAAGAAAGGCCCTGATTCAAATCTGTGTCTGTCACTAACCACTTGGTCCATTTAAGTAATTTGGAGTAAGTTACTTAAATGGCCAGGGTCTTCTTTTCTCATGTGTCAGAGGAAGCAAGACCTGTCTGCTAGGGTGGTGAAAAGAAATAATGAGACGATGAATGTCAAGACCTGAGCAGAGTGCCCAGCATGTGGTGAGGACACAGCCCCCCACCCGGTGCCTTCCCACCTGACCACATAACTGGTCAGCACCGGTAAAGGCCTCCACCATCAGGTGACCTGCACTGGCATCTCGAGGAAGGTAAAACTGGGAGTGGGAGGGACACTAGGAGCAGGTTAGCAAGAACAAGAGTAACAGTTTTGGCTTTTCCAGTAGCTGGGATGCAACAGTTTCATGGGAAAAGGGTTCATGTCTCCAATACAGAAAACGCATTAACCAGGATGGATGGCGCCTGGCCTTTGTCCTCCTCCTGGCGCAAGGATGGGAGGGGTCCGGAACGGTCTCCTCCTTCTCTCCACAGTGGGAGCTGGTCTGGCCCTGACCTCTCACAGGTGCAGATGAAGTCCACTCTGTATCAAGAAATTGTCCCGGTTGAAAGGAAACTGGCAGAGGGTGGGCAAGCCCTGAGCACTTGCCAAATATACTCCAGGCAGGCGTATGTCATCACAGCCCCCAGCAGCCCACAGAAGGGCATGAAATGGGTACAAAAGCCAGGGAAGCTCTATTATTTATGCTCCAAGTGTAACCCAAGGGCCACACTGTACCTGAGACCCTCTCACAATCCTTTCCTGGACATTGCCCTCTCCCACATGCCCCTCAATCCCTGCCTCAGGCTCTGCTTCTTGGATACCCAATGGGGTCCTACCTCATAGTGCTGTTCAAGAGTGAGGGCTTTCCATGTGGGGCTACTAGACCACCTGTCTCTGCATCATGGGTGAGCTTTTTAGAAATAAACTTCTCAGGCCCCACCTGCTGACCCACAGATCTACTGAATAGGAACTCAGGTAGTCTTGGCCATCAACGTTTTAGCAAGCCCTACAGAACACTCGATGCAGTTCGGGTCCAAGAACACTGCCGGTCTTAGGCCAACAAGCGCTTCCACAAATGATGACGTTGAGGCCCCAGGAGGAAACCACACATGCTTTGGATGCAAAACCAGCCCACGGCTTTTAGAAAACTGTATCCAGAGGATCTAAGTGGACTTTTGACCAAGGGCTTCAATTAAAGTGAAGCCACCAAGGATGCCAGCATGCTTTTATTTTCAAATAAACTTAAAAATCAGCCCAATTAGCCAACAATTCATCGCCGGTTTACAGATCAGTTGTGTTTGGTGCCCAGAGATATGGTCCTCTGGCCCCAGGGAGCGGTTCAGCACGTGGGCATGTCTGGGGAGGTTTTCTCTGCCGAGATGCTTGAGGGACTGTACGTGATTCTGCTCCATCAGCTTGAAACACTCATCCGAAGCCACCCAGCCCCTTCCCAGAGACCGCAAGCATCAGGTCGCTCATGAGGCCTTGAGCCAGACAACCCTGGAATCCAGATTTCCTCTCTGGAGGAAGATGTGCGTCAGCCATGGAACCCAGAGGAGGAATGGAAGAAGCACCCAGGGTACTGGCGCCGGGGGAGCTGGGAAGCAGCTCTCCACCCACGGCTCCACTACCCCAGCCTCAGCCAGCCGCAGAGAGAGCCCCGCCCGCCAAGGGACCCTGGCAGGGGTTGGGACGGGGACACTTGAAATGGCCCTGTAAGATGGGGTGAATTTGGGGGCGCCTGGGTGGCTCAGTGGGTTAAGCTGCTGCCTTCGGCTCAGGTCATGATCTCAGGGTCCTGGGATCAAGTCCCGCATCGGGCTCTCTGCTTAGCAGGGAGCCTGCTTCTCTCTCTCTCTCTCTCTCTCTGCCTGCCTCTCCATCTACCTGTGATCTCTCTCTGTCAAATAAATAAATAAATAAATAAATAAATAAATAAATAAAAGATGGGGTGAATTTGGATAGAGGTGGAAGTGGGGTGAAGGGAAGGTGACACAGACCCAGCTGAGGCAAAAGAGCGTGAAGTGGGAATGGCTTAAGGAAAAGTCTATGAGCAGGAAAACATGGCAGATTAGAGAATGACCTATGGCCCATTGGGTGAGGCACAGGGTGGGAGTGAGGAATCCCCTCCAGTCCCCACATAGCCCCCAGTGATGCTCGAGTCGTCACTGCGGACACGGCTCACAGGCACCAACGCACAGTGCCCTGCAGGTCACCCCAT